TAGATTTTTAAGATCATGGATGCAATTTAAATAACCAACATAATCTGAGTCAGATATACGATCTTTCAACAGTTCAATCATTTTTTCAATCACTGAATCGCTTAGCCATCTATCACACAGCAGAGTTTTTAATTCAGATACTGACAACTGATAATTACCAGGAATATTAGGTTTGAAAGAATCTGTATTGTTCAGGAGAATGTTTTTTAATTCAACAACCTGTTCAAAGTTGATATTATCTATTGGTGTAAATAAGGGTTGCCAATTCAAAACATATTTGTTTTCATTTTCCAACTCTTGTCTTACTCTTTTTGCAATGTAAAAATCACGAAAACGTTTTATTTCTCCCAAAGTGAAATTGCCATATGGCAAATCTATATAAAAGTCTTTGTCATTCTGTACAGACCCAATAATCTGATCCAAATCTTTAATTGGAGGCATGTATTTTGACTCTTCACATCTAGAGAATTTAATATTTGTTATGTTTCGTTTAATAATATAGCTTCTACATATAACAACAGGCAGAATTTTGTTAGGCAATGAGAGATTAATTCTACTAGTACTATTAGTATTTTGTAAAGCCATATTTGAGTACAATGTAACTTGCTCACCTGTTTTAATTTCCTTAGATTATACTGAATACCGTGGCGTACTGGAAAGGTCTTTGAAACCAATTTACGCTGAACAATCTAACACAGTACAGTAGTATAGTATTGTATGGTACCTTCTTCCACCAATCCAAGTGAAAAATCAAAACCACTATTGATGAACACTGAAATAGAAACATGTAACTACCCTAAATTCACATATTAGATAGTAAAAGCTTAATTGATTCTATTAGTTAAGTATAATATTTGAAATTAGATCTATAATATATAATTATGATTTTAATAAATCTTAGCTGACAATAACGTGCGGATTTCATTCAGTTTTAAAATTGGTACTATAGGGCCTAGCCAGTATAGCGATTCTGAAGGGAAAATACCGCTTATGACTCATGACGTCACTCAAATATGACAGAAAAGCACTTATTTTGGTGCCATCCCACGCATTGACTGGTATATAGAGCGTTTTGATCATTTGAAACTTTGAGTTTGACCTGAAACCCTATTAATTAATAAATAGGTAATATTAATAAAACAATACTACTAGGCCTATTTATTAGTATTTAGAATATATATCATATGTAGGCCTACATACACTGTCATACAGTGCCTTTATTTACAAGTTACATCTGATTTATTAACTGATTATCAGACTTATCCATTTGTGTGTATCTCATTGATCATTCTCAGGCTCAAGTTATACTCCTGACAAGTCCACGAGTCACGATACTGTGACCCCCTGTTGGTTGTTGTTGTACTTACTTGTAGTTAAACTGTCACTACTACAACTTAAGGGGTATAAATAAAATGCTTGAAATAATGTAGACTTGTTTTCATATCGATTACCCGACGCCAAGACCACTTCTACTGTACTAGCACTAATTTCAATGTAGGCTACTTAGTAGTCTTACCCCAAAAGTTAGAAAAGACTTCGTCAGCAAAAAAAATTATTTACAATCGGTAGATCTACATCTATGATTAAGATTTGATTTATGCAGTTTTAGTCAAATACTAGCCTACTATAAAGTAACAAACTTCATTTACATTACCCAGGTCAGAAAATCTCCTCAGAAAATAAAAGACAACTGTTTAGTGTTTGTAGCCCAATAAATATAAGAAGCTGACGCCGTTAAATACAGTGTTAGCCTAAACATCAGAATATTGCGCCAAAAGCAAACCAGTAAAAATATAATTTGCGGGTCACGGAAAGATAACTCTGTTTGGAAACATGGTTTGGTGTAGAGGAGTAACCGAAGTTGGCCGAGTGAAATCTGCAGAGATATGCCGGGTTGCCGAGTGAAAAATAGAACGTGACTCATTGAAGATCCAGTATTGTGCCAGTAACGTCGCCATTAAGGTGTTGAATTAAAAAGATTCTACAGTTCAGTAGGGTAAGTAATATGTAATTTCTATACAACTAAACAGTAAAGTATATTTTATTTAATATTTTAATTCATTTTTTGTAAAAAGAGATATGATAGACATTGACTTCTAATAATACACTTTCTACGTAATCGATAAGTGAATACACCATTATTACACAGGTATGGCTAGCAACTCGAATAATAACATAGAAATATGAGGGACAATTGTAACTTTTCCTTCTTCGTAAGACATCTAGACGTAAAAATATGTGAAGTAGGAGATAAAATAACAGACGGAAAACACAAATATAAATATAAACATTTCCTTTCTAACCAGTCAACTGATTAAATATAGAAATCAGAAATCGGGTTTTCCCGTACTATAAATAGTCACATCTATATATAATGGTCTGGTTTTTCCAGATAAAAATAGACCCGGCGTGTAGTTTGTTAAGAGGGAGAATATTGTTGTACATTAAGTAGAACGACGAATAGCTGAATTATTGTTTGATAGATCAAGACAGGGTTTTATAACATTGTATATTTAGGAGATAAATACCGACTGTTTAGAATTTAGAGGACTGTTATTGTCCATTTGATACTGCTTAAATCATTAGAGGCCGAGGCGGTGTTTATCGATATTGTAGCCCAAAATATTTAACATTTTTCTTGAAATTCTTTCTTTCGCGATAGTTGACGGTCGTTTTTTGGTTTTAATGACGTAAATACCAAGGAAAACAATTTTGACGTAATGAAAATATCCGTGACGTAAAAAAATAACACTCATTTCCATTCTATTTGAGTCGACCCTAAGTCCAAATCAAATAGTCAGTCGAATAAACCGGTCGATGGCTTATTAAAATTTTGGAATCGTTTGTAATCAGTATAAGTTAAAGAAAAAACGCACTAATTCCAATATCTTTTATCATTGTTTTTGTTTATTTTTTACGTCCCCTCATGTTCAAATTTGATTGTTCAAATTAAAACTTTAAGGTGTTATCTTAGTTATTGCCACCGCGGCTTAATAAAGTCATGCTTTACTTTTTCCCTCATCCCCATATGCCCCCGGCCATCTTTTAAGTGCACGCCAATGTGTACACGGGACCTCGGTTTTTCGTCCCATCCGAACGACTAGACATCTGTCCTTGTCCACCTCCAAAAGAATAGAGTCCCTATATATGATATGTTGGGTTAGGGGGGGCGTATGGGGATGAGGTATTTGACATTATCATGTGGCATCGTCCAGTCGATAAAATCAGTCAGTTAGTTCAGTCGATAAAATCAGTCAGTTAGTTCAGTCGATAACATCAGTCAGTTAGTTCATGCTCGTCCCATCCGAACGACTAGACAGCTGTCCTTGTCCGCCTCGAAAAGAATAGAGTCAATATATATGATATGAACGTGGAAAGGGGATGCGATGGGGCGGGGTCGGGGGTGCGTGTCGGTATGAGATATTTGACATTTTCATGTGGCCTCGTCCAGTCGATAAAATCAGCCAGTTAGTTCAGTCGAATAATCCAGTCGAATAAACCAGTCGAATAATTCAGTCGAAAAGTTCAGTCGAATACTTCAGTCGAATAATTCAGTCGAATAAACAAGTCACTCAATATTAAGCAGCGGTGGCAGCGGGCTAAGAAAATTAGTAGCAAATCATGCTCGTAGCCATAGCTGAAGGAGCCGGGGGCATGGGGTAGGGACCGGGGGGCTTCCCAACTAGTTTCAAGAAATGAAATGGGGTTTTAACGTCCTACTGTTCTGCTTGGAACTGGGCTAATGAAGACGGGCATACGCCATACACTGTGCTATGAGGGAAATTTTGCCCGGACAGCGGCACTACGGCCTACTCTTATATCGAATTCCATCTGTCAAATGATCTTTTACGTCCACGCCAATGTATACACGGGACCTCGGTTTTTCGTCCCATCCGAAAGACTAGACAGCTGTCCTTGTCCGCCTCGAAAAGAATAGAGTCCCTATATATGATATGAACGAAGAAAGGGGGTGGGGCGGGGGGGGATGAGGTATTTGACATTTACATGTGGCCTCGTCCAGTCGATAAAATCAGTCAGTTAGTTCAGTCGAATAAACCAGTCGAATAATTCAGTCAGAGTTCAGTCGAATACTTCAGTCGAATAATTCAGTCGAATAGTTCAGTCGAATAGTTCAGTCGAATAATTCAGTCGAATAATCCAGTCGAATAATTCAGTCGAATAAACAAGTCGCTCAATATTAAGCAGCGGTGGCAGCGGGCTAAGATAATATAGTAGCAAATCATGCTCGTAGACATAGCTGAAGGAGTCGGGGGCCGGGGGCCGGGAGGCTTCCCAACTAGTTTCAAGAAATGAAATGGGGTTTTAACGGCCTACTGTTCTGCTTGGAACTGGGCTAATGAAGACGGGCATACGCCATACACTGTGCGATGAGGGAAATATACGATCAAAATGATCGCGCTGTCAAACTATCTTTCAATGTTAACCAACCCCCGCAACAGGTATATTGGATTCGACCAATACGTCACGAAGACATTGTTGACATCGACTCTGTCGAAATTACAAGTAAATTTTTAAATTTTTCAAGAGAGAACTTGTTTTCATCGTTGTGATAATTAGTTGTGCAATGGATTTTATCGAACGGGAGTTCATTACAAACACACAGGTAAGTTTATAATAACCAACGTTAAGTAGTTTGTTCATAATCGAAGAAATCCGTTTAAAATTGACGATGAATCAGACAGTAGGTTCGAAATAAATTGCATATTATGTTTGATAAATGTCCATACACTCGTGTGACCGTGTAGATATATGCTTTGTGGCGTACGCGCGTGGTTGCTGTGCTTGTTTACATTGTCATTTCGACGCTGTGATTTTTTTTTCTTCGCAAAAAACCCTGCCCTGGCCTGTGTTGTGTATGAAAATTAGTCTCTGTCCTATTCATATCAGTGTCAGCCCGACTTGTATATTTTTTAAAACATATCCCAATCATTTATTTACAGTCCATACGGAGTTCAATAAATTGTAGTATTTTTATTGACTTGTTGAAAATCTTCGATTTTGACCAGTCTGATTATGATAGAATGACCATAGCAACCATTATGGTCAGACCAGCCTTGAAATGAAATTTACCCATTATGATTCAAATACACTCACTATCTTTGTTTTTTGTATTTCAGGTGTGTGTTTCAATAAGCCAATGGTTGAATTTCATTGTTGATGACATACAAGAAAAAATTCATGAAGATTTCCTAGAATAAAGTTTTGAGGTGTAAAATTTTTGGCCACTGCAAACAGAGTCTAGCACACAGAAAATATTCATTCGCAGTGAGTCGCCCAGGAAATTTAGAGGACTGTTATACTTATTCGACGCCACTTTTCGACCAATCAAAATCCAAGAAATTTCCATTTTGGGCTACAATATATATTAGAATCAAACAAAGTTGGTATATAACATACAATTAATCTTGTTTAGTTTTGAAAGATATACTTTAACGTTTATTTATGGTATTCGTATGATTTGTGAAATAATGCCGTATCAACATTGACTTAAATAATCTACTGTCTGTTCCAGGCGACACTACGACTCGAAATTGCTTGCTATTTCTTCAGTTTGTAATTAAAATGGTTAAAATTTACTGACCTACCTGGAATTGTCACCCCATTACTTTCTTCGTCGAGCCTTAACGCCTATAAGGTGGATAAAATACATTACTCTCTTATATATGTCACACATTTCGACACTTGTCAATTTCTCAGAACATAAACATTACCACTTCGCCTAATAATAGATATCGGTGGACTAATTATCCCGCGGACAAGTGAGCATTCCCCCATTTCTCAGAACATAAACATTACCACTTCGCCTAATAATAGATATCGGTGGACTAATTATCCCGCGGACAAGTGAGCATTCCCCCATTTCTCAGAACATAAACATTACCACTTCGCCTAATAATAGATATCGGTGGACTAATTATCCTGCGGACAAGTGAGCATTCCCCCATTTCTCAGAACATAAACATTACCACTTCGCCTAATAATAGATATCGGTGGACTAATTATCCCGCGGACAAGTGAGCATTCCCCCATTTCTCAGAACATAAACATTACCACTTCGCCTAATCATAGATATCGGTGGACTAATTATCCCGCGGACTAGTGAGCATTCCCCCATTTCTCAGAACATAAACATTACCAATTCGCCTAATCATAGATATCGGTGGACTAATTACCCCGCGGACAAGTGAGCATTCCCCCATTTCTCAGAACATAAACATTACCACTTCGCCTAATCATAGATATCGGTGGACTAATTATCCCGCAGACTAGTGAGCCTTCCCCCATTTCTCAGAACATAAACATTACCACTTCGCCTAATAATAGATATCGGTGGACTAATTATCCCGTGGACTAGTGAGCATTCCCCCTTTTCTCAGAACATAAACATTACCACTTCGCCTAATAATAGATATCGGTGGACTAATTATCCCGCGGACTAGTGAGCATTCCCCCATTTCTCAGAACATAAACATTACCACTTCGCCTAATAATAGATATCGGTGGACTAATTATCCCGCGGACTAGAGAGCATTCCCCCATTTCTCAGAACATAAACATTACCACTGCGCCTGCGTAAATTGGGTCACTCGCATATCATGTAGGGGTATAAGGGTTTTCCACAAATAGAATGCATTTGGTTAATTATGTCAAGTGAAGGAGAATTCGTACGTTTGTTTTGCGGCAGTAATACTTATTTTCAGAGCAGTTTCTAAACGTTTCTTGCAGAATAAATACCTTTATGTAAATAATTTGTGTGTTTTTTTTTGTGTGTGTGCTTTTTATTCTATTTGGTTACCAGTATTTTAATATTCCTTCAAAATATTCATACTACTGCATGTCTCCCAAAATGTTCCTCACAATATGCTACACTTATTTTCAAACATTAGATGGAATGGTAACCTTCCGGATAAAGTGTACACTTTGTATAACAAGATACGCCCACATTTTGAAAGAGGTGGACAGGGGTCCGATACGCGCAAGTATTAAAAGGAACCCATGCCTTTGGGATATAGACATATATTTTAATTTTCATCAAAATCGGACAAACATTGTGACCTCTAGAGGATACACAAGCTAAAAAAAAGTGATTTTTCGTACAATCAGGGCCCATAATCCAGGAGTTACAATCCAATATGCGCTTATATCGAAATATATTTTAAGTTTCATCAAAATCGGATAAAAAAAAATTGTGACCTCTTAGAGTGTCCACAAGCTAAAACGGGATTTTTCATCAGAGGCCATAATGCATGAAATTACGACCCGATATACGGCAATAAAAAAAAGAAACCGAGATCTTAAGGAGATACACCTATATTTCATGTTTCGTCCAAATCAGATATAAATTGTGACATTTTGAGTGTCCGCAAACAAATTGTGGACAGACGGACAGGGGCAACAACAATATACGGCCTTATCATTAAGCTACATAGACTATGTTAGAGATCCATATTGATAGAAATTAAAGTTTTTCTAATCTATAAGTTGATAATCAAGACCAATTCTGAACCACATGTTTTACACCTCTTCCCCACTATAAAATTTCACGCCAATTTTCGGCATTGCACACTACCTGCAAAGCTAAAAGGCGCCCATAGGGACATATTATAAGCTTACTCAGTTCTAGAAATTAATGTTTTACTAATGATCATCATTGATATCAAAATATTCAAGTCAGTGGATTAAACAACTGGGCAAACTAATATTACCTCCCGTAAATAGCTCTTTAAAACAAATTATATTCTACTGGGTTGAAACCACTATCTAAACATGCAAGTAGGACGAAATGACTAAGTCGAAGCCACACACAAACCACGATTTGTCAAGGGAGAAAGGTTATATAGCTTTATCTGAAATAACGTGGATAGGCGGTTGATTCCCCGCCCATCAGTGAGGAAGTAGGATGTTAAACCCAATTTCATTTAATCCTTAAGTTAATTAATGTTTATGTTATTTTATATTCACAGATAAAGACGAAAAATGGCGGGATATAGGAATCCAGGTAAATAGGCGATACGCGCGTTACTACATAATATGACATCAACTGTCTTCCGTAAATAATGAAGCAATACTGAGTAGCCTTTACGTTTTTTTTTTCAACGTATATGCTTTAAATATTAAATTGTTTGCCCTTATTATGAAATAGTGCAAATGTCAACCGGAATTCTAAATACAACTTACGTTAAACTCCATTTCATTTCTAAATACAACTTTCGTTTGAAATCAGGACGTCACAAGGTGTAGTTGACGTCATATGTCTTACAAATAATAATTTAGTAATTCGTTATAGTCCCAGTAAATTATAAATTATGTACGACGTAGAAGCTCTCGCTTTGTCTTCTGTGGTTTCAACAACAAACCTCCCATGTAATACAAGAATTAATTCTATTGTCATTCGATGTCCTTTTCAATCAGCTTGATATAAATCATTAAGGAAATCTAATATTTAATGGTAAGCGTGCATGGAGATTGATATTGTATTTATATTTGATTGGGTAGTCGAATGGTCTAAACTGGTGCTCTTTAGATCATAAAGGTCTGGCATTGAGTCAACAAACGTAGTTTGAGGTACCAGCTTGTTAGTTACGCGGAGTAGGGTTCGCCGGTTTCTTCACACGTACAAGCATATTATTGATATAAAATAGAACCATATGTTAGTCCCGAATTGACCCGTTTTTTATTCTGGTATGTTTCACCTTTAATAAATGATCTTTTATCTTTTAATTTAGGATACCTGCCACACCACCATGCCATTTTAACGGAAAACAGCAAATTGCTACGAACAATACTTGCGGACGGAATTAAAAACGTGGCACACAAATTAAATGAACGTTTTGTTTTGAGTGATCATCAGTTGAACATCATATTAAAAACAGTCCCTCATCAACCAGATGATGGTGTATTCGAATTAATAAAAATACTAAAAGGCAGCTCGGCGGTACATTTTGACAGATTTATCGAATGTTTGAAGGACCTCGGGTATTTAGGATTGGTTCAGAAGCTTACAGGTATTTACATATATATCAATGGTTTTATGAGCATTGATTGTGGGAGAGAGTTCCATTGATATTTTACTTTTGGATATATTTCAACACTTATTATTTTTTCAGGATGTCAGTTTCGATTTCGGCAGTTTGATATTTTTTGAAGAACGTAACTTCCCACCTTTATGAAAACCATGTAAACACAACGGAACTCTTGTTTTTCATTCGGAGTATGAACCCTGTTTATTTAAAAATTTGGGTCAGTTATTGAGTGAACAATAGACTGGGCAACAGAAAATGAGTATACGCCATACAGCGTACTACGAGTGCCGAGATATGTAGGTTATATTATGTACATTACCGCGACCAACACTGGAAATAACCAGTGCAATATTCACTCTGTGAATAGTACTGTTATTGATAATCATTGTGCAATGTAATATGGTGGGGGTGGGGGTCATTTCATCCAGGCGGCGATATGTCGGCCAACCTTCGGTAAAGGTTTGACCTCTATACTCTATTTTACTAAACAACATTTGTCACGAGTTATAGGGACTTTAACAGATTATGTAACTGCTTGTCCATATATATTATTGTTCATAATATCTCTTTCTCCCTCCCCATTTATTATTATTATTATTATTAATAATCTCGGTGGCAGGACTATCCATGCATGGCAAGACAATTATTCATAAAATGAAATCTTCATTGGATCATGAGGTCTGTCATTGAGTCAAGTGCCGTGGTGTCGATTCCTCGCTTATACGTGACAAGGAGTAGGGGCGCCTGTGCAACCTCGTGGGTTTTCTTTAGGTCCCCCGGTTTCCCCCTCCCACTGCTAAAGACCAGTAAGTGCAGGCGAATTATTGAAATTAAATTGAAACATATGTTAGTCCAGAAATGACCTAGTTTGTATCCAGAGGACGTTAAATCCCATTTCTCCTTCTCTCTCTCTCTTCAGAAAGACATTCAACTAGTGTTAATACAATCCCCCAAATAGAAACACGACCATCTCCTAGTACCAGTAGTAGTACAGATACAGTATCAGCTTTGGGTCTACAAACAGTAACACGGCCATCTCCTAGTACCAGTAGCAGTACAGATACAGGATCAGCTTTAGTTTCACAAACAGAAACTTTACATGGTAATACTAGTACAGGTAAATATATTTGAAACATAAAAATTAACAATCTTGATAAGACTATAAGGATAAACCCTACTGTCCAGTTATAAGTATAAACCTTATATTGTCCAGTTATGAGACTAAACCCTATATTACCCAGTTATGAGGGCAAACCCTATATTGCCCAGTTATGAGGATAAACCCTATATTGCCCAGTTATAAAAAGATAAATATATTTCAGACACAAACATTAAAAGGGCAAAGCCTTTGTACCAGTTAGAAGAATAAGTCCTATGGACCAGTTATGCTCCATGTCAATACGAATAAATCACATTTTTTAGCTTGTGGACCCTTAGAGATCACAATTTGTAACCAGTTTGAAAAACCGTTCCAATATATCAGTGTTACACCATATTGACCAGTTACAAGGATAGGATAAACCCTGGCTTATTGACCAGTTACAAGGATAAACATTTGCTTATTGACCAGTTACAAGGATAAACCCTGGCATATTGACCAGTTATAAGGACAAACCCTGGCATATTGACCAGTTACAAGGATAAACCCTGGCATATTGATCAGTTACAAGGATAAACCCTACTGACTATACATAAGGATAACACACATTGACCAGTTAATGTTGATTTAATTTCATGATTTGTGACCTCCAAATGCTGCAGTTTCAGATACGTTCATATTGTTTTAGTCAGAACCATATTAAAATACAGTCTTGTTTTAGTCAGAACCATATTAAAATACAGTCTATCAATAAAATCTTTATTCAAAAAGAGACGACCTGATTAATCTACTGAGGAGGGGATATGTATTTCCGGGATTCATTTCATTTCAAACTTTCGACCATTGAACACCAAATGTATCTAGATATATAGATGTTGATATAGCTCAGTAGGTTGTATGTTGTCAGTGATTATTCTCAGTATGGCATTGTAGTTATTTGATATTGTACTTCTATAACATTTCCAAATCCCGAACCTCTCCTGTTACCCAATGTTTGTTTTATTTTCAGAAATCCGGGTATCCATTATAGGAAAGACAGGGGTTGGTAAGAGCGCACTAGGGAATGCGCTGTTACAACACAATATCTTTAAATCACAACAACAGACTTCCTCTGTAACATCAGAATGTGGTTTGGGACAACGACATCTTCAATTAAATGGTGTAGATACCTTACTAAAAGTTGTGGATACACCAGGTTTGTTTGACACGGGTAACAGTAACAAAACAATAGCCAAGGAAATCGTTAAATGTATTAATATTTTATCACCAGGGCCCCATTTATTTATTATGGTATTCAGAATTGACTCAAGGCTCTCACAAGATGACATAAAAGTTCTTGAATACTTTAAAAATACCTTCGGTGAAATGATTGATAAATTTGCCGTTGTGGTGTTTACTGGGAAAGATCTACTGGTTGATCGAAGTGAAGATGGTGCTATAGACGAATTTCATACTCATTTGTCAACATTTAGTGATGTTTTTAAACACTGCCCATCCACAACGATCAATAATGGAAGGAAAGATACAACAGAAGGAAAGACGAAGGATGTTGATAGAATCTTACAATTACTTCAGACAACTATACAGAAAAATGGTGGGGCCTATTATAAAAACGAAATGTACGAAGAGGCGAAGAAGTTGTTTGAAGACCAAGAAGTAGTCAATCAAAACAGATTGGCCGAAATAGCTAAACTGACGAAGCAAATTGAACAATTGAAACAACGGGAAGAGGAACAAAAACAACGCGAAGAACAACAAAAACAACGAGAAGAGGAACACAAACAACGGGAAAACAATTTGAGAAATTGGGAGCTAGCACTGAAACACAAAGAAGATGAACTTTCTTACACAGAACAAGCCACCACATCAGCATATCAATACGGTATGTTATTTACTATCATCATCATCCTCAGACATGATATTAACACCATATCAATACGGTACGTTATTTACTATCATCATCACCCTCAGACATGATACTAACATCATATCAATACGGTACGTTATTTACTATCATCATCACCCTCAGACATGATATTAACACCATATTGTTATGTGTCTAGTAATATATGTTGTTATGTAAATCAGTGCGGGTATAGATGTATGATAATATTGTTATGTTTCTAGTAATATATGTTGTTATGTAAATCAGTGCGTGTATAGAAGTATGATAATATTGTCTTCTACTCGTTACCTTGACCTGAATTTTACATCATATTCATCTGATTTCATTATGTTATATAGTTGTCATCACATTCATCTGATTTCATTATGTTATATAGTTGTCATCACAGGGAAATAAGTTGCATAAAATTCTTGTTACTCTCGTGTTTGTGTTAATAAAGTGGAGTCAACTGCAATACGTCATATCCGGTAGTAAATCAATTGTAATTATAGATTTGGTTTGATGCTTTCCAAAAGTGCGTTTTATTATATGGCACGAAGCATAATGACCTGTAAGAAATCCTTTAGTTGAATTTTAATTTGTCAATGGTGATCATCATTATTTTAACGTCTTATAAACAAAGACTTGCTATAATAATATTATTGTCAATGATACAAATTATTACAGCCACAGGTATAATATCGTCGTGTTTATTGTTTCAGTTGAATACCAAGAGAGTCCACCTCGTGCCAAGAGGAGAAAGTTTATATCTAGAAGAGAGGCGAGGATGATGTCACCTGAAGATAACAGTAGGATAATATCTAACTATTATAACTCTATAATTATTTATGTAATCTTGTAATTAGTTCTTGTCCATGGCTTATTTGAAGAATTTAACGAAAATAATGGGAATAATTTTGAGCGTGAATGCCAACCTTTTCTGAAACCACGTGACTGTGCGAGGATGAACATTACTGATTTTCAGCCAAATTGAGGGCAATTATTGAGTGAACAAAAGACTGGATGAAATGGGATTTAACGCCTTACATGTCTGAGCAAATAAAATCTGGTATACACCACGTAGCGTGCTATGAAATATTTATGTTACTTTGTAAGACCTACGGATACCTAAACGTCGTCTCATTGTCACTGTGCAAATAGTTCTGTTATTGATAATCTCTGTGCAATGTAGAGAGATATCATTTTGCCCAGACAGCGATGGCTCTGCCAACTCTCTCTCTCCCTCTAAGAAAAAAAAATAATGTTATTTTTCAATATTTTTTAAATTCAGATACTGTAATACTGCACCATACAGATCAGAGATATGGAGAAATGTCTGGTTCGTCCCAAGGGAATCAGTTCATGATTAGAGAAATGGCGGATAGACGTCACTATGATGTATCACATTCAGGAGTCGGCAACAGATCAGAGATACACGAGGAATATGGTGAGGTTGATATTCTGAAAGTTGAGGTTAAGAAGGCACACAGCACAAATAGTCGAATGGTCTAAACTGGTGCTCTTTAGATCATACAGGTCTGGCATTGAGTCAACATACGTGGTTTAAATTTTCAGCTTGTACGTTACTAGGAGTAGGGTTCGCACCTACAAGCATATTATTGATATAAAATAAAACCATATGTTAGTCCCAAATTGACCTGTTTTTTTTTCTGGTATGTTTCACCTTTAATAAATGACCATTTATATTTTAATTTAGGTGACCTGCCACACCACAGGGTCATTTTAACGGCAAACAGCGAATTACTACGAACTACACTTGCGGACGAGATTGAAACTGTGGCACGCAAATTACATGAACGTTTTGTTGTTCATGATTATCAATTGACCAGCATATTAAACGCAGTCGCTAAACAACCAAAGGATGGTGTATCTGAATTAATAAGAATACTAAAAGGCAACCCGAAACATTTTGATGCATTTATCCAATGTTTGATAGACCTGGAATATAAAGGATTGGCTGAGAAGCTCACAGGTATGTACATTTATTACTGGTCTCAGTGGTTGTATGCGCATGAATTAATTTAGCATTGATTGGGGTGAGGGTTCCTCGGTATATATTTTAACACTTATTATTTTTTCAGCATGTCAGTTTCGATTTTGGGATTCCCTCATGGGTGTTTGATATTGGCATTGATCAATCAAAAGTAGAGAAAAGAAGCCATCACGGTTTCGAGTTAAAATGCGGATCTTCCGTTTGTCCTGAAATGTTATATAAATCATTAATTAGACCTTTATTCACATGTCAAGCATACAGTTTACCTCGTAATTCATTTTCGTCAAAGTAATATAATTTTATACGTTCACATTATAACTTTTATTGTCGTCGCACCGTCCGTCCACATTTTGTTTGTGGACACTCTACAGGTCAAAAAATTTTATCAGATTTTGACGAAACTTGAAATATAGGTTTATCTCCCAAAGATCTCGCCTCCCTTCGATATCGGCGTGTATTGGATCGTAACTTCATGGATTATGGCCCCTGATTGTACGAAAAATCGTGTCATTAGCTTGTGGACATAAATTTGTTATGTCGGACCGTAACACCCTGGATTATAGCACCTTATTGTATTTTTTCTTTTAGCTTGTTTTCTGTCCATCTGGGCGCATCTTGCATGACAACGGTTTGTTAACAATTTGAGTGGGGTGTCATCTATACTAGAGAAGACTCAATAACCGTATCTATTGTTTTTACCAAACTCATTTCGTCTTGTTGAACTCATGCGCATTGTTCTTACACTCATTTCAATTATAAAACACAAGTCGTCATTAATATTCCTTATCAATCATAATCTTCAAACGTAGTATTCGTATAATTATTCATGTAATATTGTAATTAGTTCTCGTCCATGGCTTACATCTATATGAAGAATTTGACTTCCCACCTTTTCTGAAAACCATGTAACCGAGAGAGGCTGGGTGCTATTTTGTCTCAGTCAGAAGATTTCAAAATTTGGGGTAATTATTGAGTGAACAAAAGATTGAAGGAGATGTGATTTAACGTCTTTCATTTCTTCACCAACTCGGCAACCGCCGCCAACACTGGAATCAACCAGTGCAATATTCACTCTGTGAATAGTACTGTTATTGATAATCACTGTGCAATGTAATATGGTAGAGGGGGGGGGGTCATTTCGTCCAGGCGGCGATATGTCGGCCAACTTTCGGCAAAGGTTTCACCCCGGTCTTTATTTTACTACATAACATTTGTCACGAATTATATTGACTTCAACAGTTTATGTAACTGCTTGTCCATTATTGTGCATAATCTCTCTCTCTCTCTCTCTCTCCCTCTGTGGAAGCGTTCATTTAATACCTTTATTGGCAGGACGAGCTAACATGTCTGGTAAGACAAATAATGGTAAAAGGAAATCTTCAGAAAGTCATTCCACTAGTAAGAATTCAATTTTCCAAGTAGAAACACGACCAACCCCTAGTACCAGTAGTAGTACAGATACTGGATCAGCTTTAGTTTCACAAACAGAAACTTTACATGGTAATACCAGAACAGGTAAATATATTTCAAACATAAACATTAAAATCTGGACAATCTTTATAAACAAATCCAGGAAGACTATAAGGATAAATCTTATATTGCCCAGTTATAAGAATACATCGTATTGACCAGGTACAAGGATATAAGGATAAAGTTGCCAATATTATTTCAATGTTCACGGTGCAGAATGCATATGTCCGCAGTTCTTCAAAATACGTATTCTAGTTTAACAATTTGCAATTTCCATTCCACCACAATACTAATGTCAAAGTGTTAAAATACAGAATACACTTTTCAATAATACTAAATACAGTATAATAGTTATTTTGCACATTACACTTCTCCATTCTGCATTTTGCATGATAGACAAATGCATAATAGAACTATCTAATTCAGATGATATTTAGACTAGCCTACTGTTGATGAAATTGAAGCAAAGTTGATCAAATAGTGTTAGGAGAAACCCAACGGGACCGTATACAAAGTAATATAATAATTATAACAACATGTATGAGATACAATACAATGAACACAGAGGCAAAATTTCACAAATTGCACTTTTAACCACTGAAAACTTGAGTCTGGCCCGACAAAACCCATTTAATTGTTGAATGGACAGTAAACCCCATTTCGATTAATTTTCATTCCACGCTACATGTATAAAATAAATACAATCTGATTATACCGACATTAAATTTATTGTTTAATTATATTAATATCCAGGTCAAGAACAGATGCATTTGTAGTGCCATATTTTTTTTTATTTAATATTAGTTCTGTGCGATAGGTGTTATGTTATCGGAAGGTATAGTTTAGACTTTTAGCTACTTTGTGATCAGTTTTTCGTTTATGATCCTGAAAGCAGAATTCATATTTATATAAATGTGCTTTTCTCATAAATGGGACGGGGTCAGTTCCCACTGGCAAACCAATAGTTTGCTGTATTATCTGATCTCCAACTTCAACTATGGCATTGTCAATGAGAAAATGAATAATGTTTTGAAACTTTTCTTTATCCATAACGATAGTTTCGGCATTGCGACGTTTAATAATCCATTTACCAACTTCTGAGTAAATGGCCATCAACTTTATATTATTTTTTGATTGAAACAATAATTATCTATCTTTTCAAATACACTGTATATGTATGTATCATATATCTATATTCAACATTTATGTTGTAAGATGTACCCAAAACAGTATTACATTTCAGCGTAAAAATTAGAAATGACGATGTTCTGTAGCAGAGGTTTTCCCGGCTTTGTCATGATTTCATTATGTTTCACAGGAAAATAGGTTGTATAAAATTATAATAGAGTTCTTATTCCTGGACTCACAGTTACTATTAAGGTCGATGGTTATGAAATGATGTTGAAGTACAGTTCATCATTTCCGGAAGTTACTCCCATGTTTTTGTTTATAAAATGGTGTCAATTCATAATTATAGATTTTGTTCGATGCTTTCCGGAAATGCATTATATTATATGGCATTGAAACATCAGTGATATTTTTTTTACATGAAGTCCATTTTCAAATAGTAGTCATTACACCTGAATGTTAATGATACAAATATTTGTTGTTATAGACACGGGTATAATATCTTGGTATTTATTGTTTCAGTTGAATACCAAGAGAGTCCACCCCATGCTAAGAGGAGAAAAGTTATAGCTAGAAGAGAGAAAGGAAAGATGCCACCTGAAGATGAATGTAGAATAATATCAAACTACGTGTATTTAACAGAGAATCTGAATCCTCTACACCCATTATTAGACAGCTTAATTGAAATATATGTTCTAAATGAAGATGACTTGGAAAAAATCAGGAGAGCGGAATCTAGCGCCGGTACAAAGGCAATGATTCGTCAATTTCTAGATATTCTTCGAACTTGTGGTAGACATGCTTATCCTAAATTTATCCATTGTTTAATTAAATCAGGATATGGAGAAGTGGCTGAACAATTAACATCGGGTAAGTAGAATAGCACAATTTATGTTTGATACAATTATTTTAGTTTGTCAGTGATATTCTAAGATATATTATTGTGGTATTTATAATAATTTCAGATGTTGATATGGATGGAATAGTTAAAAGGGAAGAGAAACAATTACGGACAGAGAAAAAATATTTACAGTTACAGAAAAAACTTCAACAAATAAAACAGGAGAGTGAACAGGCGATTCACATATCTGCCAAAGAGAACCGGAGGATAAAAACGACGTTGAACTCATGGAGGATAGCTTTAAAAACAAAAACCAATATCTTGGTTCGATTCAAGTCCGAGATGAGAACAAAAACGAAGCTACTTGACCGACTAAAAGAGGAACGGGACACAAGAAATGAGGATCTACAAATGACAAAAGTGAGAAACCGTATTTTGTGCGATGAGCTGGACCGAATTTATGAACAAAATGTTATAATAGACAGAATTAAAGAGGAATTTGAAGATGATGATAATGGACAAGGTAAACCCGGATAAACTTTTATTTGGTAATTAACAACCAGTAGTGTTTCTTGGCCAATCAGTCTGTATATTTAGTATTTTTGTTGTAAAACAGATGTTACGTTCAGAGCAGAGTATGTTTTGGCCAATTGGGGTATGCAGTAACTTCTCTCTTTTATGGTATAATATCCTGTTTTAATTTTATCTTGCCCACTCTTGTTTTCTTGGTTTCTTGCTGCTTGTCAAAAAGTTAGTTGATTTGAACAATGTATTAACGAGAGAACCGTTTACACTATCTGATATTTATACCATTCCTTATCTCTACAATTCTTTATCCAGTGACAAATGGCGTACCTGATCTTATTGAAGTACGATTGGTTTGGTGCGTTTTGATATGTATACTATTCCTTATTTCTACAATTCTTTACCCAAGCGACAAATGGCGTACCTGATCTTATAGCAGTAAGATGTGTTTAGTGCGTTTTGATTTTGAAGATTTAAATTTGACATTGTTCACATTATTATTATGTGTTTATACCCATTTAGTTTATATATGTCTTTATTTATTCTTTAATATCGAAATATTTCAGATGTAGAAATAAATAAATCCGATTATTCGTCAGTTGATATTCAAGCAAGGGATGGGAAACTGCTGGTAAAACAAGAACCTCTAGATGTACATCAGGCTGAAGATGTAAATGAGACTGATGATATAGATCGTAGTCTTCCAACAGATGATACACCTGTTGACGGCATTACAAAAGGTTGTCAACTTAATATAAAATATGATATATTCCTACCTAGGCAGTCCATTTATTGTTGTCGTTTTGGCTTTACTAATGGATTTTGTACCTGATTCCCGTCCCGTTAAGTAGTAGACTTTATATGATCACATTTTGTTTATAATAACCATTAATTAAAACATTGATAATAATAAACACTAATTATTATTACATCCACAATTGTTCTAAATATGGCACAGCTTTGTTGACATGAACAAATATATAGTAATTAATCAGTTTGCCTGATGTAAACACGAGTTTGTCTTCTAACTTTATGTCCAACAACTTGTCTGGTAAACCATAATGTGTGGGGTGGGTTTTTATAGCTCTACTAAACAAAAACAGATAATATGTTTAAAATACGATTCATGATGCATTAACCTTAATATGTATGCGTTTTAATTTTATCTATTTTAGACAAAGTTGTTGAAAATACTGGCTTGTTTGTTAAACAAGAACCACAAGATGTAAATGAAACTTGTGACGTAACACAACCAACTGATTTGTGGTCTACTACAAGACCAGATATAGATCAGACTCATGAAGTATTCCAGCCAGCTGGTGATCAACAAGGTATAGCACAATATTCACACGCCATATTAAATGTTACAATAATTGATTTAAAAACTGTCTATCACCATCTGTTTAACGCAGATTATAGATACCCATGATTCAAATGTTGAGGGAGAGAGGTGTATAAAATCATAAGGCTGAGGACAGATGAATAGTGTGCTTAGTTAAGGTTCATCAAGGTCTCTTCAAATCAGGAGGATGGGTGGGGCAAAGGCATTAACCTATTCCAATCCTGTAGTTCTAACTTGTCAGGGATAACACATTTTGTAGGAAATTTACTCCAGTTATTTTCGTTGAGGCGAGAGAAATCGAAGAAAGTAGGATGAACGGCAATTGTCCATGAGGGGTGATATAACACCAACTTCTAAACTACCAGTATCTGATAAAACCACTTCGTTTTTGAGTTCATAACAATGAAAATAGAAACATTGAATAAATATTAGACTCGCAAAAAAACATATTTTATCCACTTGTTCGTCTTAAATATTAGAGTTAACGTAATCACAGCGCAATTTACATGCGGACGTTTTATGCAGCTGTCCACGTCCGTTGAGACGTCTGTTCTCATTTAGGAGCCACGGTGGCTAGGTGGGTAGGACGCTGGCTCGCTATCCTGGAGATCGCGTGTTCGATCCCCGCATTGACCGAGAGAGGTCATCGGGGTTTTCGGCGTGGTTTCCCCCTTGTCGGTGGCGCAGGACGGTTGGTCTGATAAGGACAGCTGTCTAGTCGTTCGGGTGGAACGAAAAACCGATGTCCCGTGTATACATTGGCATGCACGTAAAAGATCCCTTTGGCAGTTGGAATTCGATATAAGAGTAAGCGATAGTGCCGCTGCCCAGGCAAAATTTCCCTCATAGCACACTGTATGGCGTATGCCCGTCTTCATTAGCCCAGTTGGACGTTAAACCCCATTTCATTTCATTTCATTTTGTCTGTTCTTATTTGTTTGTGGAAACTCTACGGGTCAAAATTTGTTCTTATTTTTATGAAACTTAAGATATATGTTTATATTTCAACGATCTCGGATGGGTTCGACTTTGGCACGTATCCGAGCATCATTGCCTGGATTAATGCCCCCGATTGTATGAAAATGGTGCTCTGAGTCTGTAGCCCCCCCCCCCGAGATCAAATTGTTTCCTTATTTCTTTTATGAAACTGAGATGGGTGCGATTTTGGCACGTGTCTGGTCGTAACTGATTATTGTCCGTGATTATAGTTTATGGAATCTCTAGAAATCATAATTATTATTCGATTTGAATTGACGTTCAAATATATGTTGATTACACAACAATCGTAGATGAGTTATGGCAACTTCCTGTAAAATGCCCCACCCCACCCCCAATCATCCTTCTTTTACACAGATAGTAGAAAAGCATGTTGATATATATACAAAGGCGTACGTAACTAACGTACGAAAATTAAATGGTAGCTGGCTTTTTTTTTTCGCACGTATACAGTGAATGGCCATTTTGCTCAGTAATCCCAGCCAGAATTTGGCTATTTTTTTAAAATTGCGTTAAAGTTTTAAATTTTTGTTTAGAACTGAAATAAATTAACTTTTAGTCAATCCCCACGCTAAAAACATTAACATAATTGATTGTGTATATCTGAAATAGACACGACCGAAGCACAAAGTAGTGCCAATATGCCGACGTCAAATCTAGTGTTGTAGATGATGTTATATTTCTGAAAAATCATTGGCAGAAGCGATAAGACGTTCTGTACGGATTATACAGTCCTTAAAGGCTGCAAGAAGGCTATTGTTTACAATGTAACATTGTGTCTTGTAATGTTGATAATGATCATAATGATGGTGTTTACATTTGTTTGTTGATGTGACCTCATGACCTGTGACGTTTAGATAACGTAATATGGATATCATGGCTATTCACTGTGTCAGAGTCACTTCTCTGCAGGTAGGGTGAGTCTGTCGTTCAGATTGATACAAAGGTAGTCCAATTATTGTCCAATTTCACTGTATATTAAAGATCAAACGATTTTAGATGAATTCAATTATGGCCCCTGTCTTTTACATAAAATGTGTGACTAAGTAAGTGGGCGTTTTCTAGTGTAGGGAGCCGCGGTGATTCAATGAGTAAGACGTTGGCTCGCTAACCTGGAGGTTACATGTTCGATTTAGTTACTGGTGCTCGACAGGGTTGCTGGCAAGGGACAACATATAGTCGTCCTGATGGGACAAAAAACTGAGGTCCGGTGTAGGGCCTACACATAGGCGTAAAATATCACTTTGCAGTTGGAATTCGATATGAAAGTAGGTGGTAGTGCCCGTATCCGGGCAAAATCTTCCCCATAGAACACTGTATGGCGTAGCAGGGCATATTCCTTTCTTCATTATCCCAGCCGGAGCAGAACAGTATAGGATGGCAAACCCTATTTCGTTTCATTTCCAGTGTGTTTAATTGGGAACGTGACTCCACCCCACCCTTTTTTATATATATTATCGTGATTCGAGGTAATATTTTATGTAATTTGGGATAGGTTTTTGTAGTATTGTTTGATCTATGAAGGTTATTGTCGTATTATTTTTCCGTAAAGATCATCTGGTCACATTATGGTCCAAATCTAATAAGATCATGTGACAAATAGTTTTATAAACATGACGTCATTATAGATTCCATGACGTCGAGATCACCTTTACGTCATCCGTGGCAACCAGTAATGTCTGGTAACCATGCTCGGTATCTTAACGTACCGATTATACGACAGTGTTAAATTTCAACACGTTTTGTTATTTGTTTCGACCTGTTTATCAATGCATTGATATCAACCTCTGTAGTCAGTGATTCAAATCCAACATTTATGTTACTTATTACATTTTAGTCTTATACATAATGTACCTTAATTCATATATTTCAGATATTACAACTTTATTGACACCAGGTCACCACTCACCAAATCTAGAGTCTTGTCTACAATCCACTTCCCAACATCAGGATATAGAGTCTGGTCAACCATCAACATCATCGAGTCTAGATTTTAGTCATATTAATCAACGTAAAGATGATACAACACCAGTTAAAACATCACCTGTTTACGATGATGATAAAGTTGTTAGACCAGTAGATAAAGATACATTATTTAATGTTTGTAAACATGGTACATTGGACGAATTAAAATCTATTTTATCAGATAAAACAATTGATATAAATAATACATGTGATCTAGGTAGAACCGCCATGTTTTATTGTATTAGATCGGGTATTCAACCTGTAGAAAAGGTCGGGGTTATAATATCGTCTGGTGCTAAACTTGATGTTAAAGAAAGGGGTGGTGATAGTTTAATACATAAGGCGTGTGAGTATGGATGTATAGAAACTGTTGAATTGTTGTTAAATACAGGTAGGGTAGATATAGATAGTATGAATAATTATGGTAAAACCCCAATATTTACAGCTTTACGTTCAGATAAACAATCTGTAGAGAAACTACAGTTGTTGATATCAGCTGGTGCTAAACTTGGTGTTAAAGATAATTATCGTGATACTTTATTACATGAAGCGTGTAAGTATGGATGTGTAGAAACTGTTGAATGGTTGCTAAATACAAGTAGGGTAGATGTAGAGAGTATAAATAATGATAATAAAACCCCAATATTTAAAGCTATAGGTTCCGATAAACAACCTGTTGAGAAACTAGAGTTGTTGATATCATATGGTGCTAAACTTGATGTTAGGGGATGGGGTAATAATAGTTTATTACATGAAGCGTGTAAGAATGGATGTGTAGAAACTGTTAAATTGTTGTTAAATACAGGTAGGGTAGTAGATATAGAGAGTAAGAACAATGATGGTAGTACCCCAATACTTGTAGCTATAGATTCATATAAACAACCTGTAGAAAAACTAGAATTATTGATATCATATGGTGCTAAACTTGATGTTAAAGATGGGGATACTGATAGTTTATTACATGTAGCGTGTAAGTATGGATGTGTAGAAACTGTTAAATTGTTGTTAAATACAGGTAGGGTAGATATAGAGAGTAAGAATGATGATGATGAAACCCCAATACTTGTAGCTATACGTTCATATAAACAACCTAGTGAGAAGATGAGAGTATTGGCAAATTGTGGTGCTAATCTTGATGTAAAATATTCAAATTATTCAGGTGATAGTCTACTGCATATTGTATGCAGACGTCATGAAGTAGAAGATGTTGAATTTTTGTTAAGTAAAAGTATAGATATAGAGATAAGAAACAAAGCAAATGAAACTCCAATAATATCGGCCCTGCGTTCATCAAAACATTCAGGTCAAAAGGTCGAATTATTATTAGACAAGGGTGGTCAACTAGATCATTCCTCCAGTATACTTCACTATGCCTGTCAATATGGCAGTCTAGATTGTGTTAAATACTTTATTGATAAAGGTTTAGATATTGAAGGCAGGAATGATGAAAATGAAAGTCCTTTAATGTTAGCTATTAGTTCAACAATCCAGTCATTACAAAAGGTCAAGGTGTTATTAGATGCAGGTGCTAAGCTAGATAGTTCACTGAATATACTTCACTATGCCTGTCAATATGGTAGTCTAGAGTGTGTAAAGTATTTTATAAACACGAAAAGGTTAGATATAGAAAGCAGGGATGAAAATAATCGAACACCTCTGTTTTATTGTGTTTTGACAAAACAAATAAAATTTAAAAATAAAATAGATTTACTTCTGTCTAAAAATGTTGATAAAATGGTTAGAGATACAAATAATTTGAGTGTATTACAATTTGCTCGTCAACATGCTAGACAACCACGTTTACAATATCTTATAAAAAATGGTTTTACTGATTAATGAATAGCTTATAGAAAACCGTAAATTATAAAATTATGTTTGAAACTACATCTATTGGGTAGCAAGGTACAGCCATTTGAATGGGGTGTGTACGTAAAAGATCCCTGGAGAGCTGCAATTCGACAAAAGAGTAGGCTACTGTATGACATACACCCGTCTTCATTATTAGCCCAGTCGGGGCAGAAAAGTAGGACGTTAAACACCATTTTATTTAGTAATAATTCTATGTACATGTACATACCAATAATATCATACTTTCATAGGTAAATCTTGTTTACGGTAAATTAAAAACTAGTCTCGAACACCATGACATTTCAACCACAGTTATATTTTAATATTGTAAACCATATATAGACATTAACTTGTATTATATACATTGACCTGTATTATAGACATTGACCTGTATTATAGACATTGACCTGTATATATATATTTATATCACAGTTATTATTGGATTATATCTGTATAAATATTTATCATATATGAATAAACTGAAGGTAAATAAAACAAACTATATTTATTTTATTGGTAACGTTGATCAATAGACATGTGACTGAATGTAGGACATGTTGTTAATTACAATAGAATAAAGAGACACGGGGAAGGGGGTTTAATGTCTACTCAACACATGTAGGTCATTATGGGACTAACATATGGTAGGCTATATCTTTATTCTACTAATTCGCTTGAACAGGACTCTTAATCAGTGGGGAGGGGAGGGGGGGCAGAGACAACCCACGTGGTTATGCAGGTGACACCACAACTCCTTGACAGGTACAACATTGGGATTAAACTTCTAGAACTGAAACGGGGTTTAACGTCCTGTTTTTCTACACCAACCGAGTTATTGTCCGAACGACTAGAAACTGGTTATTGCAAGCCCAGCCTTCTCTCAGACCTACAAGCCTGGAGACAATTACCCGAACGACTAGAAACTGTTTATAGCCTAGCCTTCTCTCAAACCTACAAGCCTGGAGAAAATTACCCGAACGACTAGAAACTGTTTATTGTAAACCTAGCCTTCTCTCAAACCCACAAGCCTGAGGACAATTACCCGAACGACTAGAAACTGTTTACTGTAAGCCTAGCCTTCTCTCAGACCTACAAGCCTGGAGAAAATTACCCGAACGACTAGAAACTGGTTATAGCCTAGCCTTCTCTCAAACCTACAAGCCTGGAGACAATTACCCGAACCACTAGAAACTGTTTATTGTAAACCTAGCCTTCTCTCAAACCTACAAGTCTGGAGACAATTACCCGAACGACTAGAAACTGTTTACTGTAAGCCTAGCCTTCTCTCAGACCTACAGGCATGGAGACAATTACCCGAACGACTAGAAACTGGTTATTGTAAACCTAGCCTTCTCTCAAACCTACAAGCATGGAGACAATTACCCGAACGACTAGAAACTGTTTATTGTAAACCTAGCCTTCTCTCAAACCCACAAGCCTGGATAAAATGTAAAGTGTTAAGCTTTGTACACACTGCCAACATTTTCGGAAACATCTCGGCAACACACCCGGGCAACAAATATTGACACTGTATACACAGGAAACAGTTCGACAACATTGTTGGGCAACTTAACAACCGTTTCTTGCTGGTAGCTGCCAGGTAGATCATGTGATTTGTGGCCAATTTCTGATTAGACAACACTCGGCAACATCACTGTATTTATTTCGGTAACATTTGGACAACATGTTTCCGTACTGTACACACTATCAACTTTTTCACCAACATGGCACCTGATCAACACGTTACCGAAAATGTTGGCAGTGTGTACAGAGCTTTAAGACAACGTTCCTTGAAAGCCCTCTCACTTCTCCCAGACACCAATGTGTACACGGTACCTTTGATTAAACATGCATTATGCAAGAGCAAAATCTGCTTATTACAAGTCTTTCTTTAGGCCTGAAATGTTATCTAAATTATCAATTAGACATTAATTAACTTATCCAGACCATAATAAACTCTCGATGTCAAGGCTAGACTTCGATGTAGGCTGGATTAGATTCCTATATGCCGCTAACGGCCAAAGATAATTAAATCAGAAAAAAGTGGATAATCGAGACTATGCTGTTTATATTAATGATTTTAGTAATGATGAAATTTTCAGCAAATTACCTTTACACTATCTAGTTTTTAACTATTATAGCGAGAACTGCCATCTCTTTATCTTATCTCCCATAATGTATCTTTAATGTTCCACCCGAACAGGAAGGGCGACATCACGACATGATACCAATCAGCCACTATACATTTCAGGTTCTGCTCAATAACAGTCATCGCGCCCGTACGCCTCTGTGTGCACGTAAAAGATCCCTTGGTAGTTGTAATTCGAATTAAGAGTAGATCGTATCGACGCAGTCCGGGCAGAGCTTCCCTTATAGCACACTGTGTTACATATGCCCGTCTTTATTAGTGGGGATCACGTGGCTAAGTGGGTAAGACGCTAGCCTGGAGGTCGGGTGTTCGATCCCTGCTTTGGCCGAGAAAGTTCATTCAGATTTTCCGGCGTGGTTCTCCCTTGTCAGTGATGCAGGACGGAGGGGCTGACAAGGAAAGCTGTCGGATGGGACGAAAAACCGAGGTCCCGTGTACACATTGGCGTGCACGTAAAAGATCCCTTGGCAGTTGGAATTCGATATAAGAGTAGGCCGTAGTGCCGCTGTCCGGGCAAAATTTCCCTCATACTCATAGCACACTGTATGGCGTATGCCCGTCTTCATTAGTCCAGGTTAGGAGCAGAACAGTAGGACGTTAAACTCCATTTCATTTCATTTCATTTGTCTTTATTAGTAGCTACCGGCAGTTATTTTTAAATATTAATTAATTGTCGATAACCTTGTTGTTTGCCGAACGCCGCACATCTCAGCGTTGTAACAACACCAAGTTTTTCACATTCAGGCAAGACGTCGTTGGTGTAGGGATCGTCAACACTGGGATAATCGACGCTGGAGCAATGTGATGTTTTCAGATGAGTCAAGGTTCACTGTTGATTTTTTGGACAGACGTAGGAGGGTGTGGCGTCGTCGAAACGAGCGCTTCCAAGACGTTAACGTCATCAGACATGATCGATTTGGGGGTGGTTCTGTTATGGTGTGGGGAGGCATCACTGTTGCTGGAAGAACGGCTTTACATGTTGTTGCAGGGCGTGTTACAGGCCAGTACTACCGGGACAACATCTTGGCAGTCCATGTTGTGCCGTTCGCACGACGTCATGGCCGCCGTTTCATCTTCCAGGATGACAACGCAAGATGTCACAGGG